GTTAAATAAATATCGTCAAATAATCGAGATCTCAATTTCAGTGAAAAATAATCGTGATTATCGTTTTTGCCATAATCGAGCAGCCCTATGTGACAGTCGGTGCTTGGTGCCATCGTGCTGAAGCCAGCCTGTGTGCTGCATTGATATGCATGTGCGCCGTCTTTGCAGCGCCCCCTGTAGTCACAGTGTGTTTTTTGGCTTGGAGCGTGTGTGTGTGTGTGTGTGTGTGTGTGTGTGTGCGTGCGCACAAAGCCTGTAGATTTAAGCTTTTATGACCTGCAGTTCAGGGTCTGCATAAACTTCCTGCTCACTTTCCAGTAGAAGTAATGATGACCACTTCAGCAGGTCGCATTCACCCACCTGCCCATCCTCTTGTTTTTATCCGAAGCTGAGGTTGGAATGGTGTCATATTCCACATGGATTTTTCCTGAAAGTGTGTTTGGCCTCCTCCTGAGGGATCCTCGGCTGCTTTCAGCCCAGATGAGATATAAAATCTCTCCAGTGACTTCGCAGTTTATCTCCTCCCAGTCCTCCTCCCCGAAGGGTGCCATGTTTAGACGCTGCACCACCTCTGCTGGCTCTGCTCAGTACGAAGAAGCAGCTGAGCTTCTGTAGTCCATGCCTCGTTCTTTCTTTCCTTACCCAAAGCGAATAACCATGGGTGAGGGCAGCACCGCATTCTGCCTCTGCTCCTCCCAATTACTCATGGACGACTCATTCCCAAACCCGAAGAAGGAGATCTGAATACCTGTGATATATTTTGAAATGTTGGGTAACCACTCCATCTGCCTAAAACTAGCTTCTTTAAAAACACTGAAGTGTGAGAAACTGTTTTACTTTAATTTATAATGAAGAAAAGACTAAAAACTGATATTTTTCTCTTGCTGGTTGTTTAAAAGCTGCAGACTGATTTTTCTGTGACCTCAGCAGGAGGGTGGAGCCTCATCCATAACAGATATGACAGTGATGAGAGGAGGCACTGGGTGAAGGTGGGTTGCAAAGTGGAATGGAGATGTGCAGCTGCTGGGTTTCTGAACTTGATTCAATCTTTTATGCCTTTTGGACAATTTTTGCTGCAAAATCTTTCCACCATAAATGAGGCGGAGTCCAAACTCACTGTCAGGGTTCAGAGTCTATTTAATCATCTGGATAATGTCCTGTCTGTGACACGTAGCTGCTGTCCCATCGTCCACCACCACGCACCTGCAGTCCATGAACTGAGTCTGAACACCAAACTCTGAGCTGCATTCTGCTGCTTTGATAAACCATTTCAAATGAGTGGCCGGAGCAGCGGAGTGGAAGTGGTTAATTAATTTGGTGGTTTCTGTGCTGCGGGCGTAGGGCAGCAGTTTAGCTCCTTATGTATTTTTAATAGATTTCTGTCAGCTGAACACATTGAGCCTCCTGAAGGAGAGCTTAACAAGACATCCTGTCATCCTGACAAAGAGAAGCACTCCCAACAATTTAATTCACATTAAACACACAATAAAAGGTGCGCCTGCTCCTCTTCCTGACACGCCTCCATCATCAGAGCAGCAGCCGGTGATGGAGGCACTCCGTCCTTCAGCCACCTCTCCTCACCCCGAGAGGCATTAACACCTGCAGTTACCTGTCACATTAAAGCTATTAATAGCTCATTAAATACACACACACACACCTGCCTCCTGTCTGAAAACTGTTAGCCTTTGATTAAACTGTGTTTGCGTGCGTATGTGTGAGATTTTAATAGCATGGTTGTGTGTTTTCTGTAGATATTTTTGTTTTCCAGCTTCACACAGACAAATGCAAAGTTATTCTTATATTTAGTGTTTTATGGAAACGCTGCAGGGAAAGTCTGTGTGCAACTATAAACTGTAAAAAGAAGATGGACATTCAGACGCTCTGCTTTAGCATTTTGGCTGTGACCATATTTGTGTGAGAGGATGGGGTGCTCACAAAGCTCCAAAAGCACAAACAGAGGTCCCGTTCAGGTGAAGCTAGCAGACAGGTAGCAGCTACAGTTACCTGTGTCACCATCCACCCGTCACTCGCAGAGGCCACGCCCCTAATACCAAACCAAACAATTTGTGTATCAGGCTGTAAACATGTTTGTTTCTGCTGTGACATTTTAACATCAGGTCTGTGGAGCCTGACTCACTGTTGCCTCTGCTGGATGTCAGAGGAGCTGCAGTGACCTCAGGTACCTGAGGTGGCGTGTGAGGAGCTAGTGATGAGAGCGGGCTCTTCTCGGGTCCATGTATGAATGCGATTCAGCTGTGGACGATATTTTGGGGTGGCTGTTTGCCATCTCAGATATTTCCCATGATTCTTGACGTGCTTAGCTTCATGGCGTTGTGTTAAGTCGTTTGTTCCGATCAGATCTCATCTGACCTGGTCGTTTGAGTCGATGCCACAGAGGAAAGGAGGCGTTTGTGGCAGCTTGTTTTCCTCAGAGAAAGTGCTCTGACAGCAACATGATGATTAAAAACAAGCGCTCAACTTGTTTCCAGGCATGTCTCAGAGAATATCTGCTGCCTCGGGCCCCAGAGCCACAAACACAGGACGGGTCTGACCTCCTGCCCCCTCAACTAGCAGGTTTTGGTGCTTGAACCTGAGCAAACAAAAGGAAACAAAAAGTGCTGCAGGACTGATCTCTGAGTCTGACACTGATCATGGTTCTGATGCTGACAGAGGCCCATTTACATCATCATTTTAAATGTATTAAATTACAAATACTACACTCTCTGCCTTCGTGGCATGGCAGCGTGGCTTCGGTAAGTACCAACGCGGTCGTGACCTCATCGGGTTTGCTTGGCTGTGAATCAAACTTTATAAGCAGTGTCTCTGGCTGCTCGCAGCAAACTGGGACAGGCTGAACCGAAACACCAACTAAACTCACCTGTCGTGTGTTATAACAGGAGCAGGCTGCAGCCCCGCACGTTAAACTGTTCTCAGGTCAATGCTGAGGTAAAGCATGACCTTTCACCTGCTTTAACCAGTTCTGAAAGTGTACCCAAAATGCACTTTGTGAATGATCGTACCAGTTTCTTCAGACTCTGGTTCAGCTAAAGTGCCTGATCATCAGCACAGCTGACGGTCATGTTCTTTGAATGATCCTGTGAGCAGACGGCATCGGTCTGCACTCATTAATGCTGTCATCGTCATCATCTCATGGCTCCTCATCCTCACCTCCCTCCTCTTTCTTGAACTGAAGCTATTTAGAATGAACTTTTCTGATGATTTGAACCTGGACAGTCTCTCCTTCAGTGTCACCTCCCTTTGCAGCTTGTACAATTAGTTTTAATGTCTTCAGTTTTGTGCTTCCATGTAAAAACTAAAGAAAAACGTCACGTTTTAACTGCAGATGTTTTACGTTTTCTTTGGTGTCACAGGAAGCCGCTGATGGTTTGCTGTCTCAGCAGACTCGGTGAACGTGACATTTGAAATGTAAAATTTGTCGAATGTCTCCTGGAAATCAAGTCTGGTTTCAGTTATTCTCCAGTTTGAAGTGATTTACTGGTTTTCAGTTTATCTCTGATAACTGCAGTGACCTTTAAATCCAAAAACACAAAACCCTTCACATCTTCAAAGCGGCCACTGATTCTGGAAAGGTCAGGAAGCACGAAGAGCAATAATTAAAAGCACGTTTGCTGACAGTGGAGGAGTTTAGTCTCAGCTGCAGGTTTCCTCACCCTCGCCGTTTGTTGTTTCTTTCACAGATCATTAAACTGATTTTTGTTTGACACCAGATTTGTCTCTGCTTTTCTCCTCATCTCATCCTCCCTCCTCTCTGTTTCATAATTACCTCCTCACCTCGTTACTCTTCTCCTTCACATCTTAAATGCTCCTCTTTGTTCTTCTTTCTTCTCTCCTCCCCTTCTGCTCTTGTGTTTTGGATTTCTTACTCACTTTCTTTCACATTTTTCTCCTCTTCACCTCCCCCTTCATGCTTTTAATTTTATCTCCTCCTCCCTGTCTATGAGCCAATCCGAAAACCGGGCTCCTGATCACTGAGTGAATCTGAGGCATTATTTTTCACATGTAAGTGGCTTCCTGGGAATCCCAACAAATACAGCCATAAACCTCTATCAGTGCTCGGACTCTTTGTCTTTTAACCTGGCACATTTATATAACTGCTCAAAAAGATTATGCACCAGCGTAGGGTCTGAGAGTGCATCCAAGGATTTCATCCTCATACCTAATGACAGTCAGGGTGCTGTTGCCTCACCTGCAGAGGTCTATGTGTCCCTCCATGGATAAGCCTCCCCAGACCAACATAACGTTCTCCACAGCTTCTACAGACCCTTTCACGTCTATCACATGTGCTCAGGGTGAACCTGCTCTCATCTGTGAACAGCACAGGGCATTCTATGACAAATGTCAGTCAGGTCCACGGTGCCGTGCAGTGAGCGCACTAGAAGGCATCGGGCCCTCAGGCCACCCTCATGAAGCCTGTGTCTGGTTGCTTGTTCAGAGACGTTCACTCCAGCGACCTGCTGGAGATCCTTTTGTAGCTCTTCCAGTGCTCGTCCTCTCCCTCCTTGCACAGAGGATCAGATTCCGGTCCTGCTGATGGGTTAAGGCCTTCTACGGCCCTGTCCGGCTCTCCTGGAATCTCTTCCATGTTCCTGAGACTGTGCTGGGAGACAGCAAACCTTCTGGCAGTGGCACGTATTGATGTTCCACGCTGGAGGAGTTGAACTACCTGTGCAACCTCTGTAGGGTCCTGGTATTACCTCATGCTACCAGCAGTGACACTGATCTTAGCCAAATGCAAGACTAGTGAAAAACAGTCATAAAAGACGAGGAGGGGGAAATTAAAAACATTCCTGGTTTGGGGTCGTCTCATTGTTGCCCCTCTATTGCACCCCCCTCTGATCCTTACCTGATCAGATCAATATCCAGGAATTTAAGTGACTTGATGATGTGCTCTGATTAAAAAGTGTTTTTGTGAGAAGTGTATAATTTCTCAAGTTGGTTGTTCTCCTCTCCTGGTTCTCCTCCTCTTCCCTGGGCTGCAGAGCGGTGGTGTGAGCGTTATGGAGACCTGCGAGGGGAGCTGCTATGCGTGGAGCTGGAGAAGGAACGGCAGGGTTTGGGCCTCAGCCTGGCGGGGAACAGGGATCGCTCCCGCGTCAGCATCTTCGTGGTCGGGCTCCATCCCGGGGGGCCGGCTGCCCGCGATGGGCGCATTCAGATTGGAGATGAGCTTCTGGAGGTGAGAAGAGTCCAGATTATCATTTTACATAAATTACATCAACCACAGTGAGAGTGAAGGCATGGCGTTCATGAGAGATGATTTTAATCATGTGTGAGGAATTTGGTGCAACATCTGCAACATCTGGGCCATCCTTTTTTTTTTTTTTTTTTTTTTTTTATTTTGTTGTTGTCAATTATGTCAAAGCCTCATGCAGGTGGCTCTTCTACCTGCAGACGAGCAGATGCATCAGACTGAAGAGAAAACACTTGAGTGCAGCTCTCAGGTCGATCTGCAGTGTGTGTGTGTGTGTGTGTGTGTGTGTGTGTGTGTGTGTGTGTGTGTGTGTGTGTGTTGATATAACATTTTGCTTCTTGTAGTTCTCGGGGACCTTTCAGCGGTCTGCCTCTCTGAGGACACATTTACTACTGTTGTTGTCTGTCTGTTTGTATTCAGGAGGTAATAACCCTCCTTCACTTTCAGCACCTGTGGACATGAGGTAACTCGTCTCCACCCCTCTGTCTGCATTTCAGATTAACAACCAGATTCTTTATGGGCGGAGCCACCAGAACGCCTCAGCCATCATTAAGAGTGCCACCTCCAAGGTGAAGCTCATCCTGCTCAGGTAGGACTGCAGTGCATGGTGGGAAAGTCTGAGCATTTAAAAAAGGTTCCATACACAGTGGCCTGCTGCGTTATGGAACCTTTTGGTTATTAAACTAACACTGGTGCTGCTACCAGTGTTTAGTTTAATAACACTAATAAGTAACATTTTTATTCAGTCAACACAAAAAGTCATTTTACAAATAAACTTTTCAGTTTCAGTGTCTGATTCAGCAAGCTGTGGTCTCTTCCTCCTGTTACAGCAATAAAAAAAAAAAAACACAACAAAAAATTTAAATTTCATATAATTAAGATAAATAATATTTGACTGATCTCACAGCAGCTGAAACAAACAGTAATAATAAATATCAGTAATAATATTTCAATTTAAAATAATTAAAGCAATATTTGTGCATTAAGTTGTTAAAAATTATTAAAGAATTATTATTATTATTATTATTAAAGACTTCTTTGCAAAGCCGCCTGGTGAGCTGCATCAGACGCTTTGGCCGGTTTCCTGACCTAAACACTTCCTGACTCCGCCCCCTGTTTATCCTGTATAGCGTGTTCTATTGCTGTGTGTCTTGATTGTTAATAATATCATAGTTATTCTCTGATGCTGTCGTTCATCCACAAAAATATAACCTTGTGCGTCAGTGAGAAGGTCTGTGCAGGAAACTCATGAAGAACAAGCTGTTTCTGTTTCCTGTCACTGCATTCTCTGCAGCACATCATCAGCTGATGCATACTGAGCATGCTCAGCTGAGTCTGAGGAAAACACAGCTGCATTCCCTTCAAAATAAAAGCTGCTTCCTGATGTGGAGGATGACTCCCAGGCTGTGGAGATGAAGCTCAAAGCATCCCAGCGCTCAGGCTTTACCACAGCAGGGACGGTGGAAGCCTCCTTCACACTCACTGAGGAGTCATTTAGGATTCAGGGAGGAGATGGGCAGATTATACTCCTCGTTCCTCCTCCTCTTCCTCTGCAGATCCATAAATGATCTTTTGTGATTAGCAGCTTTGAAGCAAGCGGGTGTGTTTAAGTCCAAAGCCTGGCTCATGGGGCCGGGTTAGCACTCCGTCATGCAGATTTAAACCCTCAGCCTGACAGGATGAAGACCATCGCGCTTATCCTCCTCTTTCTGAGGAGAGTTTATCCACATTGTCACTCAGTTTCACCTGATATGGGACGTGACGGAGCTGTAAGTGGATCAAATTATCAGCACAGGAGAGATGAAAGGGAGGAGATGGTTTCAGGTGAATGTGCTCAGACTTTAACCAGCACAGATTGTTCATGTTTGAAGTGTGAAAAGCAGACGTTAGCTTTGATAAAAGGAAAAATAGGATTCAACTTTTTGTCTGCAGCCCTCATTTCGACAGGATGTCAGAGGCAGAGGTGAAGAATGAAGTCCTCACTGTTCTCTTCTAATTTAACTCATCACTTAAATTCAGCCATCAGAGAAACAGCAGAATGAGAGACACTTAAGTTGAAATCCTTCTCTGAGCTTCAGGCCGTACCTCTCTCCAGGTTTGGTGAGAGAAATTTGAAGATTTTGATTGGAGGTTACTGATTAGCGGGTATATGTGTGAGTAAGGCTTTCATGCACTCTTTGATTTGATATTCGCAGAACGACAAAAATCGCAGATCATTGACTGCTCACATCCCAACCCACTCTCATTGTTCCCACTGCTTCATACCAGCCCCAAACCCAGCGTCCCCACAGCTACACCTCAGCCCACTCCCAGCATCCCCACAGCTTAATCCCAGCCCACACCCAGCGTCCCCACAGCAACACCTCAGCCCACTCCCAGCGTCCCCCATAGCTTCCTTCCAACCACTCCCAGCATCCCAGCTCACTGCCATGTCCACACAGCTTCTTCCCAGCCCACTCCCAGCATCCCCACAGCTTCATCCCAGCCCACTCCCAGCATCCCCACAGCTTCATCCCAACCTGCTCTCACATCCCCACAGAATTATCCTAACCCACTCCCAGTGTCCCTGCAGCTTCATCCCAACCCACTTTCAACACCACCATAGCTTCTTACCAGCCCACCGGGTCAAAGCAGCTCTGACCTCCTGAGAGGGAGCTGCAGTAGATCAGCGGATTTTCTCTTCAGGATGTTTTTCTCTGTATGAGATCACGTTTACATGGTTTTTGCATCATGTTGCTTTTAAGACTTCCTGACTGTTATATGATTGGCAGATTTATCACACAGACTCTGGTCCGGTTTCCTACAAAGACAAACATCGGAGCTAAGCAAGCGTCTCATGGGGCCTCACCCTGCAACATACTTTAATAACGGGGCTAATTCTGCATGAAACTGTAGCAGAAAAACAGGAAATATTAAGCTGCTCATACTGATCATTTTGATGGGGTCAAACCACCAGGTTGATGTTTAGTTAAGATTTCACTGCTGAGCATCTTAAAGTTATTCAATTGATTTTCTTTTTATTAAAGAAAGCAGGTCAATATGAGGTGGATGAAGGTGTCAGTCTGAAGTGTGAGACTGCTAAAGATCTCCTTTACCCCATCTGATTGGTCGTTCACTGCACCCCAGTGTCGGCATGGAAACAAGTAAATCACAGGGAAAACAGGAGATCAGTGCTCACTGAGCTGGGGAAGCAGCAACCAACAATCAGCTGACTTTGATGTGTCTGTGATGTCCTCATCAATCCGCCGGCGCCGGTGTCTGTCACTTCCTGACAGCTGTAGTGTTGGCCTGAGACAGTGATGGAAACGTGTGACTGATGGTCAATCAAAACCTGCAGACTTCACAGGTTTAACGAGACCTGATCGAATCATTGATTTCTGACATCAGAGACGTCTGACGTCAGAAACCTGACTGATACGTTTCACCTGATTTAGCAGCATTACATTGTTTTATTTTTGTAATTATTCACAAAACTGTTGAGAGGAAGTCTGATGATGTTTCCAACTTAGTGTTTGTGTCAGTGTTAGTCTTCTCTTCTGCTGGTGTAAGACGAATGCAGCATAACAGATAAACCTGACTGAAGCTGTAACAAATGCTGATCTGCGCTGACTCACAGATATCTGTAACACTACTAGTGTTGGTCAAGTTACTTCAAAAAAGTAATTAGTAACTAATTACTGATTACTTCTCCAATAAGGAATAGAATAGAATAGAATAGCTCTTTATTGTCACTGTTACAAGAACAATGAAAGGCAGTTTGGCATCTCTCCGTGTGAAATACACAATAGCGTAAGTAAGTATTTACATAATAACACAGATTTACATTTACACAAGAAAGATATGTACAACTTATTCATACACCTGCATACATACAGATGCACCCATACATACATAGGTATATGTATATATGCATGCATATATGTATGTGTACGTACATACGCACACATATTTCCACATACACGCTTGCGTATATATACATACACATACATGCCATCTGAGGAGCAGGTGCTTTGTGAGGTGCAGTGTGTGATCAGTGATATTGCACATTGAGTGTGTGTGTGTGTGTGGGGGGGGATGCTGTTGCTACTATAATAATACGGTTATAGAGATACGATGTATAAATAAAATGTAATGCCCATGAGTGCAGTTGTCCTCCAATCAGGGTGGAGGTAGGGTAGCCTGTTTGTCTTTGACCTGATGGACCTGTAGCGTTTACCAGAAGGAAGGAGGGGGGCGGGGGGGGGAGTGTCCAGGGTGCAAGGGGTCTTTGATGATGATGCTGGCTTTCTTCTGAAGTCTGCCAGTATAAATGTCTCTGTGGGGGGTTAGTGAGATGCCAATTGCCCGCTCTGCTGCCCTCAGGTCCATCAGGTCAAAGACAAACAGGCTACCCTACCTCCGCTGCAGTTTCCTCTTGTCCTCCAAAGTGCAGCAGTTGAACCAGAGTGTGCAGCAGTAAGTCAGAAGGCTCTCAATGGTGGAGTGGTAGAAGTTTACTAGCAGTCTCTAGGGTAATTGGGCCTGACGCAGTTTCCTGAGAAAGTACAGCCTTTGTTGTGCTTTCCCCACCTGGTCCTGGTCAGCCGAGATGTGGACTCCGAGAAACTTAAGGCTCTCTACCCTTTCTACCTCCTCCCCATCAATGTAGAGGGTAGAGTGCTCAGGTCGCTTTGTTCTTCTGAAGTCGATTAGTCTCCTTGGTCTTGACTGTGTTCAGATGCAGGTTGTTGTTGTCACACTTCAGATGCTGAACCTCCTCTCTGTAGGTTGATTCGTTGTTGTCGATCAGTCCTATGATGGTGGTGTCATCAGCAAATTTTATAACGGTGTTACTGGTGTGGATTGAAGAACAGTCATGGGTGAAAAGTGAGGATAAGAGGGGACTGAAGACACGCCCCTGTGGGACGCCTTCGTTCAGAATGAGGGTGGAGGTGGTGTGCTCTGTCACTACAGAAGTTGATGTATGAGAGTACAGCAGATGTGTGGCCCTTCAAGTCCGATCCTTCAGCAAATACACTCCAATTTGTGTTATTAAAACAGTCTTGTAGGGCCATGGTGGCTTCCGCGGTCCACACTCGTACTGTTTTTACAGATGGTTTTTGTCTTTGAATTAGAGGTTTATAACCAGGGATCAGGGACAGAGAGAGATGGTCAGAGAGTCCGAGATGAGGCAGTGGGGTGGCTTTGTAAGCATCTGGGATGTTGGTGTAAACCTGGTCCAGTGTGTTGTTTTCCCTCGTCGGGAAAAATCATGTTTTTAAAGAATCCAGGCAGGACAGATCTCAGGTTTGCATGGTTAAAATCTCCTGCCACGATCACAGCGCAGTCCAGTTGCGTTGTTATCTGTTTATTAATGGAGCGCTGGAGTAGCTCCATGGCTGACTTAGCATTAGCTTGTGGTATAGTCGTACTCGCAATCCATATTATCCATTGTTGATCTGCACATGTCTGTTACCACGAACGTTGCACGTACTTACATCAGTGTCATGAGACACTCTCACAAACAAAATCATGGTTTAGTAACGCATTAACGCAGCGTGCTTACGGGAAAGTAACAGTAATCTAATTACTTTCTTGCAATAGTAATCCCTTACTTTACTCGTTACTTGAAAAAAGTAACCGTGTTACTTGTAACGCGTTATTGCTCATCTCTGAACACTATGCAGATATTCTGGACATGATGTTATGTCTCCTGTTTCTTAACGTCCTTTGTTTTTTGAATTTGAAATATTAAAATGCAGCAACTTTTTTATGTTTTTATGATCATCATACTAAATGTAATGTTTCCTTGTGAATATTTTTCTTTGGCTGAATTAATGAAGGAAGCTGTTTCCTGCAGTTGAGTTTGTATCTCTGTGCTGCATTCAGGACTTTTATTCTTCCTGCAGCGTGAATGACGTCCGCCTCTCAGGGTAAACGTGGTCTTTAGAATGAATCAGTATGGTGGAGGAGGGAGAGGAGGAGGAGGTGGTGTGTTTGGAAGAGATGAAGGGACTCCTCCCATGATTCCCTGATCATATCAGTGTTCTGTTTTGACTCTTATGATGGTCCTCTCTCTCGCTCTCTCTCTCTCACGCTCTCTCTCTCTTTTTCTTCCTTCCTCCTGCGGCTCTGATTAAATCGTGTCAGAGCTGCAGGACGTTGGCGCTCTCGCCGTGTTCAGCATCCTCGGACTGAGTGCTGCAGTAATGAGCTCTGAGAATGAACATAAGAACAGGACGAGGACCTTAGCGGCTCCCGTGATGCAGATGGCTCCATTTAATGGCGATGCCTCAAATCCAACGAGCTTCAGACACCTCCTCTGAGGGTTTGAAGTAACGGCGGAGTTGTTCCACATGGCGCTACGCCCTCCTTCATGTCTGCCGGCTCTCTGGGGGGCGTTGCTGCTGTTTTCTGCTCTGTTACCCGCCAAGCTGTTGCTGCAGTTGTAGATATAATAAATGCGGCTTCAGCCGGGCCCGGTGGACTGAGCCTAAGTTTGGATTACAGCTATGGCCCTATCAGGAGAGGAAGAGGAGGAGGAGAGATGGTGTCACACTGTCTGCCATTACAGCGTTACATTTTCTGTTTGCACGTCAGTGTTTAAAACTTAATTCTGCTTTGTTCCAGCCTGCTGTTCCTCTCATTCGTGAGTCAGCTGAGACATGAGAACTTTGCAGTGTGTTGATGTATGCCGAGACTGTACATAAAGGTTGAATATCGTCTTAGGTTTGTGATGTCCTGGCATGAAGTTGAACATTTCCATCATCACAATTTTGCCTTTTTGGGGTCAGATGAATACGGCCTGGATCGTTTGCTTTCTCTGGCCTCCTTTCTGACTGTAACAGGTCCTTCAGTTCCAAAGCAAACACTACGTTCTATTCAATCAGAGCTGAAACCAGCAACCAAGACAAGAAACTCCTTTGCAAACTTTTTAGTGACCTCAGTGATCGAATGAGCAGGCGACCCATTTCCTGACTTCTATCCAATCAGACATCATTTTACAATCAGTCATGCTGACAGCCAGAGGATACCTGCTGCGTAAGGCATAAACACACAAATTCTGCAGGTGTGGCAGAGCTGTGATCCGAATGTATCAAATTTCAGATCCGTGGAAGAAAATGGATGAATCAATATTTAAGATTTCACCACTAGGTGGCAGTGTTTTATGAGAAAGTCCTGGCTTAGCTGTCCCTGCAGTGCAGGGGTGATGAGGTTTGAACTTACTGTTTGTGAAGCTGAAGTTTGTTCTCACGGTTTTGTGTTTTTCTATTTTTGTGTAAATCTGTGTTTCCTTTTTTCTAAATGTATTGATCAAACTAAGATCCGGGGAGGGATAAAAAAACAAAACAAAACAAAACTGGGCTCTCCCACCTGGAGGGGGAAACCAGGTGGGGATTGCCCAGAGGTGTGAGGAAACCAGGAGCTGCACAGACTACGCTGAGGAAGCATGAGTGAGTCATCAGTGAGGAGTGTTCACTACAGCAGCACAAAGTGACAGATGGATGACAACGTAGAGGAAGCCGTTGCTGATGCTGCAGTGTGAGACTCGAAAGAGCACACGAGGAGACGCCTTCACAGTAAAACTGAAGCATCTGTCTGTTTTTATTTCTTTTTTTACTTAAAAAAGATTAAAAAGATGAAACCTGCAGCTGCTGAGGAGGACCTCGGACTGTGGAGCTTTGTTTCCGGTTGTCCTCCTCTGTGGATTCTCCCGGGATCATAGATTTCTTTAGCCTGTTGTTGAGCCCTGACACTCAGCTATGTGAAGCATCACCGTCATGCTGCTGCAGTTTAAAGAGCTGCACTGCTCTGTCCAAGTTGTAGGTGAGCTGCAGCTACTCTGCAGCTGTTACAGCTCTGCTGCACCTCCACGACGCACTCTGGAAATTCCAAACCAACAGACATTCTGAGTTTAAGCCAGAGAGACTGGTGAATCTGATGGCACAGTCACAAAGCTTTGCATAGTTCCAGAGCAGATTCAGTCTGTCCTGCTCAAGTAAATCCATCTTTGTTGCTCAATGCTGAGTCAGAGGGGAGGCACATGGATTCATGTCACTGTAATATCGCGTCACATGTGACACACTGCATGTTATTCCTCAGGCCAATCACAGCTCTACATCATCCTGCATGATGTAAGTAAGTAAAATGTATTTGTATAGCACTTTTTAAGACAGGAATGTGTTACAAAGTACTTTACAAGGAATACAAAAACATATCAGACAAAACAACATATTACACAAGAACGTTACCCAAATGCCTGTCTTAAAGATGTGTTTTCAGCTGTTTTTCAAAAGAAGTCACAGAGTCGGTGGTGCGTAGAGGGGGTGTAAACTGTTCCAGAGTATTGGTGTTAGGGTTTGGAAAGCATGATCCTTTGTTTTCAAACGGGTCCGTGGAATAGTCAGAAGACCACTATCAGTGGATCTATAGATCTGTTTTGGAGAGTAAGGGTGAAGAAGCTCGATGATATAAGTGGGGGCCCCTCCTCATAAAGACATAAAAGTTAGAGTGAGGATTTTAAACTGATATCTATACCCAACCAGAAGCCAGTGCAAGGACTTTAACAAGGGAGTGATATGAGTGAATTCATGACTGTGGGTTAACAGCCTTGTTGCGGCATTTTGCACTGCTTGAATGTGATTTAAAGATGCCTTTGTCAGACATGTTGTCTGATTTTAGGCTTGATACTCTCTGGACCAAGAACTAAACACTCAGTCTTGTCTGCGTTCAGCTGCAGAAAATTGTTTGCCATCCAACCATTAATTTACTTAAGACAGTCCATTAGGATGGATAATTTGTCTAATTCCCAAGGTTTAAACGAGATATACAATTGGATATCATCTGCATACAGATGGTAGGAAATCATTTTGAAACTGCTAATGATAAGGCCTAAAGGCAGAATATATAATGAAAATAACAAGGGGCTTAAAACCAATCCTTGTGGAACCCCGCATGAAAATTCAGCTATATCTGACCAAAGGTTTCCTACTGAAACCAAAAGTGATCTAACTGCCAGAAATGATGTGATGCATTTTAGGACAGATCCAGATATCCCTACCATGTGATTTAAGTGGTGGATTAAGATCTGATGATCAAAGGTTGAGCTAAGGTCCAGTAGAACAAGGACTGAGCAAACACCTCTGTCTGTGGCCATCAAAAGGTCATTTGTGACTTTAAAGAGAGCTGTCTCTGTGGAGTGTAACTTTCAAAAACCTGACTGAAAGTTATCGAGACTTTTTCTAATATTTTAGAAATGAAAGGACGTTTTGAGATGCGTCTGTAGCTTGTCTGAAGTGTTGGATCCAGGTTAGGCTTTTTCAGCAGAGGTTGAATAACCCCCTGTTTAAAACACCTGGGGACAGAGCCGGACAGCAGGGAAAAGTTTATCAATGTGACCACAGAGGGCCCAATGGTGTCAAAAACAGAGAAGTAGGTAAGACATCAGCTGGACTCGTTGAGGGTTTCATTTGACTTAGTATTTCCGATGGATCTTTTAAAGAAACTGAGTGAAAAGACTCCATAATTATGGGATGTGGGAGATCACAGTTGAAGGGGCTATCTAAGGGAGTTATATTTCCTCTTAGGCCACTAATCTTATCTTGGAAAAATCTTAAAAAGGCATTGCAATCCATATCTGAGAAGACTGGTATACATGGAGTTGGAGGAGAGATGATGCTATTGACTGTATCGAAAGAACCTTAGGATTTCTTTTTCTTACTGCAAGTAGTTTAGAGAAATAAGTGGCTCTCACATCTTTCACTATGTTGTTAAAGGTGGATAATAGCTCTTTTAAGTGGAGCTTATGAACCTCAAGTTTTGTGGCTTTCCACAGGCGCTCAGTTTAACGGCAGATTTGCCTAAAGCTGCGGATAGCTTCTGTGATCCCGGGCGGGGATTTTACAGTGCTGCCTTTCTGATTTTGAGAGGAGCCACTTTATCTAGAATTTTTAGACATTGCAAATTGAAGGATGCCACATGCATCATCAGTTTCAGGTAGATTATTATAAAACCCTCCATCCATCCATTTCTTCGGCTTATCTGGGGCCGGGGTCGTGGGGGCAGCAGCCCAAGCAGAGAAGCCCAGACCTCCCTCTCCCCAGCCACCTCCTCCAGTTTATCCGGGGGAACACCAAGGCGTTCCCAGGCCAGCTGAGAGATATCTCTCCAGCATGCCCTGGGTCTGCCCCGGGGCCTCCTCCCAGTGGGACATGGCCGGAAAACCTTGCCCAGGAGGCGTCCTCGTCAGATGCTTGAACCACCTCAACTGGGTCCTTTCGATGCGGAGGAGCAGCAGCTTTACTCTGAGCCCCTCCCGAATGGCTGAACTTCTCACCCTATCCTATCTCTAAGGGATTATATTTACACGATATTATAAAACAGTTCCACAAATTCTTCTACCACAGAGTCAGTAATTAGACATGAATGCTTCACATGAACAAAGGGCAGAGTGTCACAGATAAAGGAGAGATCAAATACAGTACAGGTGTGGGCGTGTGTGTAGCAGTCTGTTCAAACTGAAGTGAAAAACTCGTTATTCTCTGTGTCTCTGCAGAAACGACGATGCAATAAACCAGATGGCCGTCCCTCCCTTCCCCTCTCCCCCTCCACCACCCTCTCTCAGCCCAGCCAGCCCTGAGGTAAACGAACACACACACACACACACGGGATACAGCTTCTCTGTCTCCTTCTCCTTTGGATATGTGCTCTCCAGTTTTGAGCAGTGACACTTGTCCTGGTATAAATATCAGGTGCTGCATTTAAAATCCTTTTGTTGAATGAAGCAGTATTTTTGTCTGTTGTAATGTCACTGTGTCAGGCTGAGTGATTACAGACTCGTTAATGTCACCTTTTTGAGAAAAATATATATACACTGCTACCTTGTCAGTGCTTGGTCACTTTCATGACGTCTTCACGTCATCATCAAGCCGCAATACAGCTGACATTATGTGGTGTAAACCTATATGATGCCAGCCAGATAGTGTGAAAAGAATAAAAAGGTTTGTCGTCAAAGTTGAAACAGACCAGAGGAAGCAGGTGAAGGTCACCGTGAGATCATTTAGCCAAACGTCCATGTAAGTGTGAGTAATGGCAGGATGGAGTTCTCTTTAATGACCGTGGTTTAATCCTCAAAATGTTCAGACTGCTGTGTGTAAAATGTTTTGATCTGATTTGTTTGGTCGTCTTGATGAAAAAGTTCACCTGTGAGAATTTGCAGGAGGTGTAGGTAAAAGTTTTCAGGTAATGTTTCCTGTCCTTTGTGAAGATGTTAGTGTTTCACAGACGGATGAGCCTTCAGTGTTTGCACAAAGAAGAGAAACTATTCATATTTAAAGTTTAGGGTCGCGAAACAGTCGGTTATTGATTGTTTATGTGGAAGTCCATCAGCTGTGTGACCGCGCTCAGAACACAACAACGTTCAGCTTTGACCTCCACAGAGAAGAAAGTGGCGTCTGCTTGTTTGAGACGAGCACCGAAGTTCATTCTTTGTGTTTGTATGTCAGTGTATCTCGCCCACCCTGCTCAGTGGATCCACCCCCTCTGACGGGCCCTGCCCCCCCGACGGCTTGACGCTCCACCCGCTGTCGGATGCGCCGGTGAGTGTGAAGCTGAATCTGAAACGGAAACGTGGGAACGAGTTGTAAGTGTGAGCTGATCTGAGGTCTGCTTAACAGGACGAGCCAAGCGACGAAGCCGAGCAGAACAGCAGGAGCAGGAACAGCGTCCCCGAGAGTCTGAGAGAGGCCAACACTTTCAGAAAGGTACACAGCCATCAGACTCCGCCCCCAGGGTGTAATTGTTCAGATTATTATGGTAATGTTCACCCTTGGGAACCTTAATACTGACATTCTCTGATCAAACAGACCAGACTTCATGTGAATTTTTCCCAATTTTGGAACTGTTGTCTTCTGTTTACTCCTGACCATCGTCAACTTTATCTTTCTGTCAAAAAAAAAAGTTAACTGTGTATGAATCTCATCAACAATTATGAATGAGATAAGGCCAGTGGACACTCTTTCAATGATGAGGATGTACACATCCTGGACAGGTCACTTGGATGAGTGATGAAACGTTTCTCCCACTGAAAACGCTACGTCCAGATGAACAGAATCAACCTTTGGAGATTTACTTACCTGGATGATTGAGAATGCATCAAGACGACATATTTCATATTACAAACTTTGTCCTCAAGGTTTTGTTCCAGATGTCCCAGAAATGTGACTGAATGAGGACATGAATGTGACTGAATGAGGACATGAATGTGTCTCCTTGACCCGCTGTGCTCTGTTTCCTCTGCAGAGGCTGAAAGCTGCAGAGTCTCCAGAAAATGAGCTGCAGGCTACACTGGAGCAGCAGGTAACCTCACAGGAAGCGCCCATATCCTTTAAGTTAAAGATGAGATCATGTGGTTACTGTTATTATGGACTTATTTCACTTCGCTCAGTTTGTTCTTATCAGTCACACAAAAGCCTCTATCAATACATCTGATCTGTGTGCGTGTGTGTGTGTCCAGTCACACAGTAAACGGATGGCAGCTTCTCCTCCTCTGATCAGCCCCGATCAGCACAGAGGTACAAACACAGACATTTAACTGTGAAAAATCAGATCGACATGCAGACTTTCTAAGAGTAAACTGATCCTCGTCCTCCTCAGACCCAACCTGCTGTGCTGTGGTTCCTGGTCAGGAGACACTGCTCGAGATCTGCAAAGGTCGATCTGGACTGGGACTCAGTATAGTGGGAGGAAGAGACACACAGCTGGTAACACACACGCACGAACACACACACAGTGTGTAACTTTACAGTCCAGTGCTATACCTGCTTTTGTAACCAGCTGTGAGCATCAGTGATGATCTAACAGCTGTTACTGTCCGTCCTTTTAAAGTTATTAAGGATCACATATGCTGGAAACTCCTTAAAAAGTGTCAGATTTTTTATTTTTAATTATTTTTTTTGCCTTTATTTGATAGTAACAGTGTAGAGAGACAGGAAAGCAGGGAGAGATAGGGAGGGAAAGACAGCAAAGGTCCGCGGGTCAGACTCCAACTCCAATCAGTAAATGAGAGCAGGATTCCACAAAAAGACGTAAACACAAAGCGCGGACCCGACGCATCAGAATCAGTGAAATGTCGTCTTCTCACCCGATGGCACCTACCCAGACGTGTACGTACAGTTGGAGCTGAAAGCCGAGAGCTCACAGATTCTGAAGCTGCAGGTTTAGTCACTCTCCAGTGAAAGTTGACTAAACCAGCAGCAAAAGAAGATCCAAACTACGCTTCACATTTCGCTTCACCTAAACATCGACATGAATTCCCTCTTACTTTTGCTATTTTGCTTCCACCACGATAAAAACACACTTCCTGCACAGCTCTTTCTCTCTCTGTCAGTGTACTTCAAGAACAGTTTCCCATCTCAAATCTCTGTTTTCTGAAATATTTGCTTGGTTAACCCTAGAACACCATCGCTGGGTGATTTTCACCCGAGCAAATACATTTACATTTTGGAGCATTATTTTAGGGTCACCCCATGACACTTTTTTTCATTTTGTTAGACATGGCACAGTTGAAAGTAAAAGCAGACCACTCTGATTTGTCATGTGTTGTCATATTTTGATATATTTTGATGACAAGTACGTTTTGTTGGTCATATTATATCACGTAAAAATCACCCGGTATTAGTGATTGTGTTTATTTATAGTTTATTTATAGCAATAGTGTTCTAGGGTTAATACCCACCAGTCATAAATGATCAGAATTATAACATTTCTATAAATGACAAACTGGAGGACTATGATCAAATCTGGAGGTCACTCACTGAGTATCTGGAAACTATGGACAAACAAGAAACTACTATGTGGGCTTTACCCTAGGTTATAACAAAGTGATAGCACTCTGGGATCAGGGAAGGGTGTGGGGAGGGAGGGAGGTTTTTTTTGTTGTTGTTGTTGTTTGGCTTTTTCTACCGTCTTGGTTGTCTGTTTCATTTTTTGTTGTTGTTGTTTTCCCCCCTTTCTTGGTGATAAAAATATAAAAATTAAGCAATGAGAGCCCATGGGGCATTTTTGTAATCGTTACTTGTGCTTCACTGTAAAAATATTTGAAGAGAGAGATTATAATATTTCTAAATGTCGGAGTCAAAATTGAATCGAATCGGATCAGGACCTTGTGAATTGGAATCAAATCAATTCTAGAAATCAGTGACGATACCCATCCTTACTGTTTAACATGAAGCCAGGACAGCGTTCCACTTTGATGATGAAGATCAGTCTTCTTCATCTTCAGTTCATGAACAGACTCTAGCCAGGCCTCACCCTCTCTTCTTGTTTCTCCACTAGGATGCCATCATGATCCACGAGGTGTACGAAGAAGGAGCTGCAGCCAGAGATGGGCGTCTGTGGGCCGGAGACCAGATACTGGAGGTATTCACAGACACAGCACCACCCACGGGAGGAGGTGCCCATCTACCTGTCATTACATCATTAACAGGATGTATACGAGCCATAACGTTAGCTGGCGAATGTAGTTACTGCTCACAGTAGGAGGTCCGACCTTCTGCAGAGTCGTCAAAAACTCAGTTGGATCAAAAAGATATTTAGATTTGAAAGTTGAATCTAATGTTGTCTGCTCAGAAACGAACCTGCTTCAGCTCCCCCTGCTCAAACACAGCTCCTACATCCACCGTCTGTGTGTGTCTGTGTGTGTGTGTGTGTGTAGGTGAATGAAGTGGATCTCCGCGGGGCGTCCCACGAGGAGGCGATCGCCGCCCTGCGTCAGACACCGGCTAAGGTCCGCCTGACAGTCCTGAGGGACGAGGCTCAGTACAGAGATGAGGAGAACCTGGACGTCTTTAAGGTGGAGCTGCAGAAGAAGAGCGGCAGAGGGCTGGGGCTCAGCATCGTCGGGAAGAGGTCCACATTAAAAAAAAAAACTGTCAGGAAAATTAAGGAAGTCATGAGATCTGATTTTAGGAGGATTACGTCTCATTTTTGATTATAACGACAGGAAAACATCAGAGTTAAATCTGTTTCTGCTTAAAGTTTGTCTTGGAACGTTTTTTTGATTACAGATGAGAAAATGTCGTTTGTCTGTCTGTCTGTCTGTCCGTCCCAGGAGTGGCAGCGGTGTGTTTATCTCAGAGGTGGTCAGAGGGGGCGCCGCTGAGCTGGACGGCCGGCTGATGCAGGGAGATCAGATTCTGTCCGTGAACGGTGATGACGCGAGACATTCCTCCCAGGAAGCCGTGGCTGCCATCCTGAAGGTGCTGAACAGTACTGTGAGCGTTTACTGCAGTAACACTGATCTGTAGAAGTACTGATACTACATTTAATCAGAAGCACATGCTGAGGCGGAGCTTTTTATTTCACGCACTAACAGATCATTTTCATTGGTTGGTCGCTAGAAGTGAGAGATTTCTGTGTTTCACTGACAGACCTAAAAAAATCAGTTTACTGGATTCAGATTGTTCCACAAACACTAAAGAGGCGGTGCATGAACGTGTTTCTTCACGTAGAAAAAGTAAAATTTCGAGGACACAAAGAGTGCACGAGGAATTTAGGGAACATGTTCCAGCACTTTCTCTTCCAACACTGCTGCTCGGTCTTTACCACACTACCTGAATCTAACTCTGAAAGCAGACTTTTTATCGTGTGCTTCTGCTGCTGAAATCATTTCAGAGTTAACACAGAGCTGCAGGAATGCGTTAGCATCCCTCACTTCCTGTTTCCCCGCGTGGATGTGGATGTTTCAGTTATTTGCAGCCCTGTAACACAACAGTAAATTCCTCCCACTGTTAAAGCTTTCCACGACTTCGCTCAAAGTCAGCGTCACACTTTTTTTGAGATGATGTCAAATTGATGCAAACTTCAGCGCTAGTTTACCATAAAAGTCTTTACTGCAGCTCTGAGGTGGTCTGGTTTAACGTGTGTGTGTGTTTGTGTGTGTGTGTCCGTCCTGCAGTGTGCTCGGGGTCCTGTCCTGTTGGAGCTCGGCCGACTCAAAGCTGCCTCCTGGATCACATCCAGACGTAATTCACATGGGAGCCAGGTCTGAGAGAGTTCAGATTTATGATGGTCCCTAACACTGTAAGATAAGCAATACTACAAGCCCAAAGATACAAAATCCCAACAATCAGATCGCCATGAGCAAGATCTTGGTGGTAGTGGGAAGGAAAAACTCCCTTTTAACAGGAAGAAACCTCCAGCAGAACCAGGCTCGGGGAGGGGCGACCGTCAGTAGGGAAAGAGGAGAGAAGAAGAGCACAGAGAGACGGGTTCATTAAATCAGAGTTTAGCCCTTTCTGTTTTTTTTGTTTGTGCTTATGTTAGTCAGGACACCTGAGCAGGGATTCAAACCAGCAGGCTTGGATGGCTCCAGCTGTTCCTTCTGCTCCTCTCTCCCACGATGGCCCACCCCGGGTCTGAGTTCATTCTGGAACAGAGTGCCAGGATTGTCCTGATCTCAGCTTTAACAAAATAAACCTGCTTCCTGTGTAAACTGTAAAGCGATGATGGACATGCCTCCTCACCTGGGAGCACCTGAACTAGATTTTCTTTCTCTGACATGGCGAGCAGCGTGAGCTGATATGACACTTTCTGTTTCAGATGAGTCACGCCAGCACAAACAGCTCAGGCGTTCCAGCTCCGTCCCTCACACAGTCACCTGAGCCATCTGACCCCCCAACCTCAAGCCTGCCCCTCAATAACAACGCCGAGCCCACTGGTGAAATCACTTCCTCCACCTCAGGTAGACACATGTGATTGGTCAGAGTGATGCAAATGTGTTGATTACAGAGAGAGCACTGATCGCGTTTTCTCTGCTGTGTGTGCAGGGCTCGACGAAGGCATCCGAACAGTGGAGATCACCAGGGTAATGACCTCACATGCACTTACAAACACACTGTAGGTCACCTGACCTCTGATCCCTGGATTGCTGTAAAATAAAAACTCACATGAATAGTGCAGACCAGATGTCACTGTCACCGCACAGTGAGAAGGTCTGCGTCCACCTTTTATTTTATATTTTTATTTCCATCAAAGCACAAGAAAAACCAAAAACAGTGAGTCCTGGATAAGAAAGACCCGTAGCTGTGATTTCATGGTTAAAGCTAGATGTCATTCTGCTCTCCTTTTATTCTTCCACCCGTGTATCTCAGGGTCTCGGCGACTCCCTTGGGGTGAGTGTAGCAGGAGGGAAGGGCAGTCCTCTGGGTGACATCCCCATCTTCATCGCCATGATTCAGGCCAGCGGAGTCGCTGCTAAAACCCACCAGCTCAAGGTGACTGAGACCACGCCTTTTCCACCTGAAAGCTGCACCCACCAACCATGTGAAAAAAACAGGCTGAAACCAAACTTTAGTCTCACTGTAGCTGTGTGGGTGTGGAGCAGACTTCGTCACAGGGCCACGATGCCCCCCCTAAAGCCAAAGTTGGATCAGTTATAAGTATAAAGGCTTGGTTTAAGGGTAGGAGGAGGCTGGAGAGATGAGGCCGTCTCCAGGAAGTGATGGAAACGTGTCTCTCTGTGTTTTCAGGTGGGAGACAGGATCGTCAGTGTTAACGGGCAGTCTGTGGACGGCCTGTCTCACAGCGAGGTCGTGGCCATGCTGAAGAACAGCTACGGAAACATCAGCCTGCAGGTAAAACATGCCTGGCACACCTGTACACGGGGAGGACTGTGAGAATGCAGGTGGTGAGCAATACTCCAGCATGTGACCCCACTATTACAGCAGATTTACTGGAAAACTTAGGCGGACAACAGGGTCAGGCTAAGTAATGTCTGCAACCGTTGGGGGGGGGGGTGCACTGGAGTTTGGACTACACACACTGTGCATTCTTCCTCTGATTGGAGGAGAAAGTAAAGCAATAAAAAGAAGAACCACTGTGGAACGCCTTTTGGTTCAAAAACACTTGTGAGCACTTGTGACCCACAGTGAGCTTGTTAATGCCCCCTGAGGCCAGAGGGTGGAAGTTCATCCACTGCCTGATCTTTGCCCGACAAACCTAAGACGCAGCAATGAGCTGATAACACACAGAGAGATTTTACTCTCCGTGTGTTATCAGAAGTTTGTTTTATTTGTGAGCATCACAGGAAGAACATGGAAGCCCGGGTGAGACGTTCTGGATCACTCGATGGGAAAGTCTCTCTACAACACCAGAGCCTCCGGAGCTCATGATTAGCTTCTCGACAGCATCATCATTAATCAGTCTGTGTGCACCCAAATGACATGAAGTAAATACTGCCTGCGTTCCCCAGTGTTTGTGCTGCTTTGGGATTTGTTGATAAAACGCCCTTTTACTGTCACGTTCGTCACTCGGGGGATAAAAATGTTCAGTAAAGAGAGAGGTCTGTCACGTGTTTACATTCAGAGCACACATGAACTATTCTGATTTCTCTTTGGGTGTGTGTGTGTGCGTGTGTGTGTGTGTGCTTCTCAGGTGGTGGCGGACACCAACATCAGCGCCATCGTCTCACAGGTGGAAAGTCTGACCAGCAGCTCCATTCCCTTGGACAACACTGACACACACACAGCAGAGCCTGAGTGAGTACACACACACACACACACACACTCAGGAGTAATGACAGGAAGTACTGATCTGACCCAGAGTCTCTCCTCCCCCTCCTCGTCAGCGGTCCACGGCCTCGCAGCATCAGCCTAGAAAAAGGTTCAGAGGGGCTCGGCTTCAGCATCGTCGGTGGCTTCGGCAGTCCGCACGGAGCCCTGCCGATCTACGTGAAGACCGTCTTCAGCAAGGTCAGGACCCGTCTCTGTCTGATGATGTCACGTGCTGCGAGGCACTGGGAATGTAAACGTGCTGCGTGTCGGCTGATTTCAGGGCGCGGCAGCGGCGGACGGGCGTCTGAAACGAGGCGATCAGATCCTGGCGGTGAACGGAGAGAGTCTGCAGGGAGCGACGCACGAACAGGCCGTTGCCATCCTGAAAAAACAGAGAGGAACGGTCACGCTGGATGTCCTGTCATAACACACGACTGCTCACACACCTGCACACACACACGGAGCTCCTGCTGCGACGCACACGCTCAGACTCCTGGACAACAACTCTGATAGTCACTCTGAACCCCAACACGCAAAAAATTGACAAAAGAAACGGTGTCAGACACACACACACGCGCGCACTTCCTGTGCACGGGTTGGTGGGTTTTGGCCTTCTTTACATGTTAAACAGAGCTTCTCAACCTCTGGGTCAGGGCGCCACATTGGGTCTCAGCTGTGTTCGTGCTTGCTGTTTGGATCTAAAGTAAACTTCCCGCGCTGTAGTTTTCACGCTGTAATATTTAATCCTTAAACAGGCATGCCCACGCTTTCTAAAATACCACAAATCAAAGAGCTCCTAAACAGATAATAAAGTGTAGTTACCTTGCTCTTGTCCACCCTCTTGGACTGCAGTTGGTGGTCCTTCCAGATGCGCCTTCGGGAGCAGTAACTCATCTTTGAAGCGCTGCTGGTGAGTTATTTTGCATCTGCAGAATCAGCGGTCACAAACCTGCTCACAGAATAATGGCTGTGAGCAGCGTAACAGCTCGATCCAAAATACCGCCAGATCAATGTTCTGTCCTCCCCCTTTCATCTTTACTACAATAACGAGCAGGTCGGTCTGACACCACCCAGCTCAAGCTGTCCTCGACTGTGCAGCAACATGAGTGGCTCATTTGTTTCTCACTGGGTGCTGATTGGCTGATTTTGCAGTTAAAGCAGTTTTCCAGAACCGGGACGACCATCACCAAGGATGTGTAAGTGGAGTCTGCCCAAGGGTAGCTGAACCTGGTCAGCCTGCCTAGTTCGAGAGAATGAGAACGAGAAGGAATTTATTGATCGCTAATAAACTGATCTCGCACCACGTTGTTCTCAGGTAGAGATAAAAACGAGTCAGCTGATATCCTGTAGCATCAATTCTGTCCTGTAATCGTGGAACCGACCCAACCCAACTATAAAATCTGATGTCATAACCCAGAACCAGGTTGAGAAGCTCTGCTGTTATTTATCCTTTGATCGAGACAACGCTCCGTACTGACGGAGGCATGGCCAAATCAGCCTGCACTAACTGATACTAACTGAGACACGGACTGATGGGAAACCTTTCACGAATGGAACCAGAGGAACAAAAAGGGAAAGATGTGGCTGATGTTAGCCTAGCATCTCTTCTGTGGTCCACTGTTAGCCGTGTAGTAGCCGTTATTGTAAAAGTGAAGACCGATGTGGAGCGTAACGCCGCTGACTGTCAGCTTCCCTTTTTTTTTTTTTTTTCTGCCATCACAACCAGCCAAACATGAAAGAAACAGCTGCTAGCCTTTAGTTTCATCCTCATATTGGCTCTATACCTGTGATTTTCCACTCCAAACCTTTTTTTCATTTTTAAGAACTTTCATTTGGGTCTAAAAGCACTTTTTCACCGCAGGAACTCAAACAATGCACAATCTGGAGCAAACATTTACAAGAGCAGGCTCCAGTGGTCCTTTCAGACTTTAACCAATCAGCATGCAAGGAAGCCGAGCCAGAAAGCACAATGTTTCCCTAAACCTAATCAAACTGTAGCTGGACATATATTTTAAAATAACTAACTGTAAACACCAAGACTGAAAATAATTCCACTTCCTGTTTGATGGTTTCATCCACGACAACCTGCAGCTCATGTTGCTATGTTTGGACTGCAACATAAACAACACATAGTTATGTGACTGGCCAGTTCAAATATTTGAGCTTCATTAATAAGATCTTTAAAGAACTTCACTTTTAGTTTTATAGCTCAAAGGTGTGCAACAGACAGATGGGAAACTCTAAGGGGGTGGGGGTGTCTCCTGGCAGTTAGACCCTGGTTCCTGCTGTGGAAAAGGTTCATGTTTAGATCTGAAAATTACAGTCATCGTTGGGTTTTAATTACTGTTTTGTTATTTTGCCAAGTATTGCGCAAGAAAAGTGGCCAAAAAAATATAAACCTGTAAGAGCTGAAATCTGTAAACTTGTTTCCACATAAATCGTAGAAGATGGGAAGAGACTAATAACACAAAGTTTGTCTAGAAATGAGGAAACTGTTTCTTGCCAACATCGCCATCTAATAGAAAATGTTGTGTCCTAAAAACCTGCAAACTGTTCACTCAAAATCTGGAAAATGAAAACAGTGGGCGTGAAGCTCATTGAAATATCCCTTCATAACAGAGGTATATTTATTTTTGATTCCTTTTTATTTATTCGAGTGCTTCCACTGTATTTCTGTTGTTTAGCCAAACATGTTAAACGGTGCCATCATTTGATGCCATCACATATCCTCTGTTTCCACGTATGCTGACTGCTGAACAGAGCACACACAAGCATACCGATGTCAAACTCCCGCTTTCTTCCACTGAGTTCATGCAACACTTTATAGAACATGCAAACATGTCTGTCTCCATGGAGACTCTCAGGACTTGGTGGGTATGGAGACTCCTGTCGCCCCTGGCAACAGATACAGTGTCTTCCACATTGTAGTTGAAGGAGATGTGAATAAAAGCATCGGGCCGACATTCAGTGAAATCCTTGCGTTCTCCGTCATGTTCTTTTCTTTGCTGCGGTCAGTCATAGCCGCAATCTGCTACTGATCTCTGCAGTGATGAGGAGGTGTCAACTAGCGACCACAAGCAACCTCCTGCAACCGGTGGTTACCGTGGCGTTCCTGACCGGTCTTTAGGCCTTGCGTTCTGAACCCTCTCACCTCTGAGCATAAGCACAGAATATCGGCTGGTTTCACTCAGGTGTGCATAAAAGTCCACACTGAGCAGCTTTTTTTCTGGTTTCTTCTCCATGAGGAGTCTGTCCTGTGTTACCAGCTCTGTAAAACAGCAGAAGCTAACTTGAGAAAATGTGGAAACTGGACAAGAGCTTTCCCCAGAGCTGCCACAGGCCTTCAAATTCAGGTCTGCTGGTGGTAGATAACTGCAGCTATCTGCAAGTTGCAAATCTGCAAGTTGCAAATTGCAACCAATAAACTTCTAATATTAATTCTCATCCAGCATCCAGATCTTCTCATTCAACAAATATGAGTAGAGCTCTCAGTTTAATCCCTTTCATTAAATACCCAGTATTTATGAGCAGCTGTCCTGAAGTGCTAAGAAACTCAGTTTGTTTTAGACTGAGAACACGACGATCCAACTGAATGTCAGCATTTTGCTTTGAATGGTTTCCTACTGTGCAGGTAGCAGTTTGTGGCTGCGCATCTTCGTCTGACTCAAGTGTTTAGCAGCAGCTGAGCACCGGCCTCAGCAGCATCCTGTACTTTATACATATCAATCAAATGCAAAATACTTTATGTTCAACTTTTACTTTGTCATAATTATTGTCTTAATTTTTTGGTACTTCATATGCAAATGCCAGAGTAGATGAAATCTAATTTATTTTTGATCTTGTTGAGAATTAACAATGTATTTTTGTTGCTGTTGTGTTGTTATGAGCACTAATATGTCCGAATATCAGAAATCAGAGTGGAAACCTGCAGCTTTGGTCTGCTAGCGCTTCCTTGTTATTCTGCATCATTTCTTAATCATGTTCTCAGAAGTTGTTGAGAAAATTTGTTTGATTTCAAATAAATAATAGATAATAGATCCAAACTGACTTTGAAGGACTGTTTTACTGTATGATTCTCAGTTCAAAATGATCTGTAGCCAATCAGAAGAAAGCGTTGTTTTTTGTTTTTTACTGCTGGCAGGTCAGCAGTCGAGATTTATTTCATGGAGCTGAAATATTGGTAATGACTCAGAGACCAACCAGAAGTTTGAAACTGAATGAGGTTTGTACTAGTATGTACAATATACTTGTTTTTCATTAGCTGTTCACTAGCCATTCGTTACTGAGTCTACTCAGTACAATTCATTTTATCTCAGGCTAGTTTTTTCAGGCTGGTTTTGCTCATTTCAGTTTACCTTTTGGTTTTTGAATTGTTTCGTTTTCAAAGCCACTTTCAGTAACTGGGGATCAGGTGCCTGGTCCACATTGGACCTGGCCAGGCCCAAATGTGGTGGCACATGGCAGTTGGGCCATAGTCCCATCACTTAAGGACTGACCACCAGTCTGTTACCAGTGAGGTAACAGTCTGCTGTGGTGAAGAGAGAGCTGAGCTGGGAAGCATCAATTTACCAGTCAATCGATCTTCATAATCTTATCTATGGTCATGAGTTCAAAGTAGTGACAAAATTAAATTAGATCACAGAAATTACCAGCAGAAATATGGAAGTATTTGTTTGAACACAACACAATACACAACATTTTTACAGGAATCCTCAGTGTCATTAAAGAAAACACCACACCCTCAGCATCAGGCTGTACAACTCTTTATTTCTGCTGTGACGTTTTAATATGGTGACTGACTCACTGCTGCCTCTGCTGGACATTAGCTGAACTGCAGGTGACTTTTATTAATTTCATTCAACCCCCCACCGCCCAAAGCTGGATTCTGCTGTTGTTAGTCTCTTCAGTGTTTACTGTCGTGTTGAATGATTAATCAGAGACCCGACACAGCAGTTTGTTAGAAAACATAACTTATTAATGAGCACAGAGTCAGCACAGTCGATGAACCTTTAACAAACACAGCAGCTGATGCGTTACTCTGAGTACAGATCATTGATATTAATTCCACACATTCAATTATTCACAATCAGGAGGAAAAATAAAGCCAATCATACAGTAAGTGTAAATAAATTCCTTCGCCCTGGTGAACTCCTCACACCTTAAAACACAAAACAAATAATTACAATTTGCACAAAAAAAGAATTTTGTGTCTCTCCAGACTCCATGTTGAGACAGCCAATAGACTCTCTGCAGGGCAGTCACATGGAGGTTGTCTTGCCATTGATGTCGGCTGCCAGGTTGTTGAAGGCGTTTGGTGCATCTTTGCTCCTGATGGACAAACGACAGATTCAGTGAAGAGTGCATCTAAAGCTTCTCAGTTTATTAGCAGTAGCTGTGAATGTGGTTGGACTCCAGCGTTAGGATACCTGAGCTGGGAACTATTGTTTTTACTCAGTTACTCATATTTGATAGTAATGTACCTCAATTTGGAAGAACGATTTGTGCCTTCACCATGTGACTTTTTATTTTCATCTTTCTGACCACGGCACGGAGTGAGGACTTGGCAGGCTGTGGTATAAAGCACTGTGAAGGAATCACAGGAGCTGGAGGTGTGCTGGAAGTGTACTGGAGGCGTGTGTTTCTGGTTTTTGTGTTGAAGTTAACCACAGAGGGCGCTGATGGTGACTCTGACACTGACTGTGGGGCTGTGTTTGAGCACTGAGTGTGTTTAAGGGAAGAAGCTTCGGCCCTCGGGTTGTTTTGATGGAGGTTTTTGTGTTTCTACCTGAAGGCGTCCAGATTAGTCTCGTAGGTGTTTTCGTTCCCTGACTCGGTGCTCTTCCTCCTGGTGCAGAACAAAAACGAGAAGTAGAATAAACGGTCGTGTTCACAATCAGAGTTTTATGTCTCAAGGATCTTTGGTGTTACAGAAGCATCTTCAGCGTTTCCTGTCTTGTTCCTACCTGATGGAGCTGAGGCGCATATCATACAGGTTGCTGCTGATAATGTCACGTTCTCTCACATCTTCAATGCTTGTCCTGCTGCGCAGACACAGAACAATCACAGAATGTAACGTTTCTGCACTGAAACATTCAAACGGTCCTTCGGCGGTATTTGGCCAACTGACCTGCTGGGGTTTTCACACCACGCCTTCTTCGCCAGGATGACGACGAAGGCGAGGAACAGGAAGCCGCAGACGGCAATTATGCCGGTCAGCCACTGAGGCAGTGCCCGCTCGTTGGTGTTAGTGGGCTCTGCAAAGCAAATGCACAGAGGGGTCAAAGGTCAGAGAAAAGATGAAGCTCTGATGGTTTTGAACTTTTCCAGCACAGAAAATATCGTGTCGACTTCCAGACGCGAGCTAAACCTTCGCCTACAATCCTCACTTTTTCAAACTGGTTCCGCTTCACTGTCATTAGAGTGAATTAAAAGCACTTTTTTAATCCACGAAACGTTGTTATTTAAGCCAGACTTTTAGTAGATTTGTCAGAAGTGTAAATAAACCTGTCATTTCTTTCACAGGCACAGATCTCAGTCCCACAGAGCACCTTTGGGATTTGTTGAAACGGGAGATTCTTACCATGGATGCAGCAGCTGTGCAACAATGTCATGATGATGTCACATCAACATGTACCAAAGTCTCTGAGGATTGCTTCCAGCAGCTTGTTGAATCTACTAATCAGGTGTACCGAATAGAGTGTCTGTCAGAGGATTTTTGCTTTTAAAGGTTTTATTATTCATATAATAATCAGCTAAGAGTGTTTATATTTCTGTCTTGTACTCAAACAGCTGCATATTCTTGTACTCAAACAGCTGCATATTCTTGTACTCAAACAGCTGCATATTTTAACTGCTGGCTCTCTGCTCTATAACGGAAACTGTTTGCCTTCTTATTAAATGTCAGGAGCAGGAAACCGCCACCCAAGAGTAAGAAACGACCTTGTGGAGGATACAAAGTTCTTGAGAAATCACACCTGCTTGCTTGACAAGATAAGCATGATATTTCCTTTTTTGTATGCTTCCTGCCGTGTATAAATAAAGGCAGACTGCAACAGGGAAGTGTGTGAGTCTCCCCCTGAGTCTCTCACCCGTGCACGTTAAACTGCTGAAGTGTCTGAGTGTTATTTCATTACATCTGAGTGCTTGATAAAAGAATCTCTAACAGTGTCCGATGAGCTTGTATACTCTGGGTACGTGAAGTGATTATTTAATGGTGTGATTGGTGAAGCTGTCAGATAATTAACACTGTTAAGCTTTTATAGCTTGACCCTTACACAGTCATTAACAGCTGATATGTCCTTGTTTGTTTCCTAGTTTGTGTCCTTGTTTGTTTCCTAGTTTGTGTCCTTGGTTGTTTCCTTGTTTGTTATCAGTTTTTAAACATGATATTAGCAGAACATTCAAAAATCGCCTTTGTGTTGGATGATATTGCGATCGGGGTAGATTGGAGATTAATTTAAAGCTTTGAATGAAGCACAGCGACAAACACACACACGATATTAATAAAACATCAGACCTTTGAGTTTATGGTGTGAGAATACATTTTATAACCATAAAAGCTGCATCCTTATCTTTCTTTATCTTCATCAACATTTCCTTTTAAACTCACTAAAATTAAGCTGATAATAGCTAAATAGACGTGCAGGTTCACAACAAACCAGCGTTTCTGTTCAACATGCGACCAATCAGGAAAGCTTCTAATGTGAATCACTGATGAACTGAGTGTTTCAGGGAAAACGAGACATTCCCAACAGCAAATGGGGAATTCTTCAGTTTTCTGACAACACATTTTTAGAGAAGGTTCGTACCTGTCTGAGCAGTGACCGTTCCGACGGCGAGCAGTAAACAGGAAGTCAGTGTGCAGAGCGTCCCCATGGCTGAGTCTGTGAGGGAAACCGGAGCTGCTGCAGTCGAGTTAAAGACGGAGTGAGGACAAGGATCTGGGAGCAGCAGCTCCCTGCAGGCCTGTCAATGTTTAACCCTCAACACAGACGAGCTTTTATGAAGACAGCCCATCACCTGTCTTCAACGTCATGCTGGAACAATCCACGGCCTTCATTCATAGGTGATTAATAAACAGGAACCAGCAGTTTAACTTTGACCCGAGGGAGCGTAGTGTCTCATTCACAGCCACAGACACGCGTTCATATTTCAGCCTCTAAAACAGTAACACATTGACTGCTTACTCCAAACAGCACGCTCATAATAACATTATTGCAAGTTCATGAAGCAAAAATCACCTTGAGAAACTTCAAACTGCTCGAAATATTCATTGTTTTACAGTCACATAACCTGCTGCTGACTGAGCAGTCAAAGTACAAACAGCACACCAGTCAAGGCCCCTCGGCAGGCTTCCAAAAGTTAACCAATCGGTAGAAAGTGGACTTCTAGAAAGGAGGACCCTAAAGTGATGGGAGCGGCCTGTATCAGATAAACAAAGATTATTTTGAATTGTGACTCATGCACAGCTGCTCTACCGTGGAATAAAAATAAAGAGCAGTAAAGATATTTTCTCTGTATGCATTAGTTTACAGCTTTGTGTACCAAGATAATAATGATGACAGTGGTTGTGTCTGATTTGGATTCTTTAGAAAGAAGCAGGAAGTTTCTGGTCTCTTACGAGGAAACTGTACAAGGAGTTAAACCAGAAAGAACCAAACTGAATTATCAAATAATCAATATTTGCATATTTTAAATGAAAATCCTTCAGAAAAGTTGAATTTTTATATGAAACTGTCAGTCCTGCTGCAGACGGCTCAGCATCACAAAAACATGAAGCTTTTAAATCTTCAATGTGTAAAGAAAGGATTCACTCACTGTGTTTTCAACACTATAATCAGCTTCAGAGAAACTGAATGTTTGCAGTAATTCACAGGAGAACAAGCGTGTGCTTTACTGATTACATGTTTATTAAATATAATGATCAAATATTGGTAAATAACATTTTTTCCCCTCCTTGAACGGCCAGTGAAGGTCCGGGAGCCGTGACTTGGGCCCTGCTGTCCTACAGCATGACGCATGCAGAGGAGGGTTTGGCTTTGAACATGCCCACGAGGTTTAGGTTTAACTGGGTGGGGTTAAAGTCCTGCAGGTTGGATACGGAGGTCTGCGGTCCTTCCCGGTCCTTCTCCCTAGAGGTGACCCGGTACTGGGCCCTGAAACTCCTCACAGGGTTGTAGTCGGGCCCGATGTGGTCTGGACACCGAAACAGCTCTCTGATGATGGCGCCCTGCCGGGTTATGGCCACAAAGCCGTCCCTGAAGGTCACCATTCGGACAACGGGGGAGTAGACGTACTGAACGAAGAGCAGGTTTCCTGACGGGAGAAATGAATAAAGCTCAGTGGCTGGAATGATAGAACTGTTTATAAAATCCCAAAGGCCAAACTGTTGGAGAATCTTTTGTTTGCAGCTGACTGAACTCTAGAGAGTTGCAACCAGGACGGCTCAGACCTGGGAGTGGTCCAGGTGCAAAACTGCTGGTGCACGCTTCAGTGCTTGTCTGTATCCCAGATTTTTGCCTTTTTTAGCCCTAAAATCTCTAACTCTGCAGCCGAACACAAACATGCATACCTGATGCAACGTCCCAGACTTTGATGGTTCGGTCCTGAGACCCGGTGAAGACGAAGCGGTCGGTTTCAGAGAACGCAGCAGAGAGGACGCCCTCAAAGAGAAAGCCCTAAAAATGAGACGACAGAAGAAGAGACGGACCAAAGGCCCGACAGTGACATCGGCACAAGTCATCCATGCTCATACTCGCAAAGCGTTCCTTTGACCTCTCACCTTGTACTCCATGGTGTGGTCCAGGGCCAGCGGGTTCAGGGCCCACAGCCTCTGCACAGTGTCCTCGGAGCCCACCAGAGCATGAGCCCCCCGGTTACTGACCGTCACACAGGTCACTCCGCTGCGGTGAGGCTCCAAGTCGGAGACGTCGCCACCCCTGCTGAAGTCCCACAGCTTCACCTCCCCACAGCTCGTGCCATACAGCAGCCTGCGGTCGGGAAGCAGGGCCATGGCGGACAGCGGGGCGTGGAGAAGGGGCAGTGCAAACTTCTCCAGAGGCCCCTCCACCGTGGGAAAGTTGTCCCTGGAAGTGATCTCGAACAGGCACACCGAGTCCTCGTAGGCCACCGCCAGGTGCTTCTCCTTGGTGCCGGCGGTGAGGCAGAGGACCCTGCACAGGCTCTCCGGGGGGGGGATGCAAAGCGTCTCCTGAGGCAGGGCTAACGGGTAGATGAGCACGGTGCCACTCGTCAGGCCGCAGAGGAGGAGACGTTTGTTCTGAGCCAACTCCAGACAGGACACCTCGGAGGAGACGGGCAAACGCTCGCACACAGAACCTGCAGGGGGAACCAGCATAGACCTCAGGGGGCGTGACATCATTCTAATGTTTATTCTAATGTTTTCTAATGTTCTGTAAGTAGCCGCCACCTTTCACCTCTGACCTGTGTGGCTGTTCCAGCTCATGACCTCGGTATGGCTCTGCTGGTGGACATAGAAAACCTGATCGCCGTCTTTGGTGAGGGCAATGTGGGCGGAGTCTGCAGGAATGCGGATGGCAGGTTTGGTGCTGGCGTCGTACTTCAGGTTCCACAGCAGGATGGAAGAGGTGGCCGTCGAGGCCGAAACCACAAAGTCATTAAAGAGAAGCACACAGGTGACAGGGGCGTCCGCCCCACACAGAGAGTCCAACAGCGCCCCCGTGGTCACCGACCACACCTGTGAGAGAATAACAGTCCTTTCAGAATAAAATGAGCTGTAATTACAGAGAGACACTCTGTGGCTTCAGTCATCTTTATAAAATGCCCAATGTCTTCAGTGTTTTGAACTGAGTGAATCGGATCGTGCTTCCTGCTGGTTTCTTACTCGTACAAGTTGGTCTGCAGCTCCAGACACGAGCCGCCTGCCGTCTGAGGAGACACAGGCGGATAAAATGTCATCGTCGTGCTGGAGGTCAAGGAATCGGTCCAGAGAGTCGCCGAGGATGCTGAAGAGGCTCAGAGTGCATTCGCTGGCTGCGGACGACACAAAGAGTCAGGATGCTTCTGTGCAGGTCCGAAGCACAGCGCTCAGCGCTCAGGCCTACCTGCTAACAGGGTTTTTTCATCTTCAGTGACTGAGAAGAAGGAAGGAAGCAGAGGAAACTCGCCAACAGTCTGTTTGCCTGTCCTGGAAATCTGCACGATAAAACGGCATCATCGTCGTCATTGTGGAAAGTAAAAGGAAAAAAAAGCTTTTTAGAGTGAATTCAGCTGCAGACCTGAGAGCGCCACTCAAAATATTTTAAATTCTTACACCACATTTACCTAAGCTGTACAAACACAACCTTTTTAATTGTGATATATTAAATTTACATTTCCTTTTTATATTATGTATTTTATTGGATAACTATAATTATTGTGGCTTGTTTAATTGCATTTTCAGAAATGTATTAATATAGTCACATATTTATAGGCGTACATTTTTAAACCCTTAAAAATCGTATAATTTTTGATCATTAATCTTGATTTTTAATGTTTTAATTTCATACTATTATAATTATTTCAGGTGTGTGTGTGTGTGTGTGTGTGTGTGTGTGTGTGTGTGTGAGTGAGAGAGAGACACACACACCTGGTGGAG